TTAAGGAAATGACTCCCTCCCCTCCTTCATATTTATTGCTCACTGGGCACCGGGGATTCAGCAACGAATAAAACAGACTCTCTGCCCTCATGAAGCTCAAATTCTATTGGAGCGACCCATACTAACGAACAAGAGGGACACGGGTGCAGGGACCTGAAGCGGGGAGAGCAGGCAGATACCTGGGAAAGTGGGCCAGGCAGAGGGGACAGCATGCAAGAGGTGGGGCCTACCTGGTGTCCAGAAAGAGGGCAAGGAGGCCACAGGGCTGGGGTGCAGCAAGTGGGGAGAGATAAGGCTAACGGTGGCCAGGACCTTCCAGGGTCCTAGAGGACAAGAGTTGACTCGGAGTTTTGCTCTGATTTGACTTTACCCTTTCTGTGGCATTTCCAAATGAATGCTGTAACGCTTTCCTTCCACGCCAGTTCTCAGAGCCTCCCTCTAGTGCAGGGGGAGTTAGGCCTGGGGGCAGTAAGGGCGTCTCTAGTTGGGGCCCTCCCGTCTTAAACCAAAGGAGAAACAAAGTTCGCCTGCCATTCCTCCTGCCGCCAGACAGAAGCAGAGCCCACAGTCCACACAACACAACACAGAAGATTACTAATGAAGTAAGAGCCTCCCTTGGAACCGGGAAGAACAACATGCCTGCAAGCCGGGAACCATCCGACTGGAGCACAGAGCACAGATGCCCCTGTGCCTTCGGCCCACGTAACCACAGTCTGCACTGGATTCCAGCCCCTCGGTATAGTATTCCAGCCCTCTGCCCCCTACCTCCAGGCACTGGGTCTTCAGGGGACGGCCAGCCCCCAGGCCCAGTGTCCTCTTCCCTGACCCAGCAGAAAAGATAAGGGCTCCCTGCTTTGCCACCGTACAGGTGCTGATACACTTGTCCCATATCTGCCCTCCCAACTGGTTCTAGAAGGATAGGCACACTGACTCTCTTGTCACTGTATCCCCAGCAAACAGCACAGTTCATGACGCGTGGAAGATGCACAATAAATATATCCATATGAATGCATTAATGAACAAACAAAATAAGAACTGAAGAACATTTGCACTCTCAAGCCAGTGATGAAAACCACCATACGAGCGCTGGCTCCTGACCAAACAAACAATGATAATAATAAAATTAAAATGGCTACCAATTATGGGTGTATATGCTACGCATCAAATATGGCAAGAAATGCTTCCCATATCATCCTATTTTCGCTTACCTGTAGTCCTGCACAATTAGATCCCTTTTACACACAGCGAAGACGTACTGGAGCCCCCGATTCACACCCTGGCGTGGCTGGCTCCTAGGCCCAAGGCCTCAAAGGCGGAGCCTCTCTGGCTCAGGAAAGCAGAGGATGTGGGAGCCGAGGACAAGGCGAGCTTAAAGGGGTGAAAGTGGCAGGAGGGGCTGACTGGGAGAAGAAAGGGAGGTTCTCCTTGGTCTTCATTTATACCTATCTCCACCTGGTCGCCTGACCTGCTATTCTGCTCCAGCTCTGAGAATCGCAGAATGTTCCTTCACTCCTTCAGTCATTCATTCAACACTTACTAAGTACAGACTCTTCCCAGCACTGGTACTGAAGGTACTTTGGGAGGCACTGCATTATTTAACCCTCATAATGGACAGCCCGTGGATCAGAGAAGTTGCAGGGATCACCCCAGGTCCTCTAAGTAGTCAGTGACCAAATCAGGCCTTGAACCTGGGTTTCCTCATCCCCAACTCCTCGCACATTCTTCAGGATGGGTGCATTCTGGGGACGGATCTGTCTCGATGTGGATGATACTGCATCTGTCTCATTCCCATCAGAGAACTGTTCTGTTACCAAACTCCCTGGCTTGTCTCAGTGCAAATGGCTCTGCCCACCTGGGCCGAATAAGGCCACGCACTGTACTAATAAGGAGAAGGAGCTTTCAGAGTGACTGACTGAGCACCCACCACAGTGCCAGGTGCAGAGCGCCTAATAAATGTTTTCAAAAAGAACAAATGAATGAATGAGTCAGGAGAGATACACAGTGGATCTGCTAAAGTGACAAGAGTTCAAGAGAGCATGTGGTTGTACATCCTCTGAGTGTCTGATGGGGTCCTGTCCTGAATTTCAGAGTGACGGGCAACTACATGAGTGCCCTTCACTTTGACAACTAGAGCCAGGCAGACACGGAAGCAAGCCAGGGATTCCAATGACAGAAAAAAGATCCTATGCTGAACCACCACTGGTTCTGCCACCAATGGAGAAATGCGGCCCCACGAAACCATCATTGTTTTACAGCCACTCACTGAGAAGAGCCCGTTTGACAGGTGACGTTGACAAGTGGAAATTACTCAGAAACAAACTTGTCTCTTGCCTATGTCAACCCTAAATTTGGGCATATCAAAGACATGCTTGTAGCTTCTTAGCTAATAAAGCCATTTATAAAATACATTAGAGTCAAATTTCATTTGTCTAATTATTCCTCAGGGAATGACTCACACCAGATCACCAAGATTCCCACACTGTTACTCTTTTAAGTATCAAAACCTTATGTGGAGACAGAAAGCAGATTAGTGGTTGCCTAGGACTGGGGAGGGTTGGGGGGCTTGGGAAGGTGATGAGTTAAGGGTGTGAGGTTTCTTTTGGGGGGAATGAAAATGTTCTAAAACTGATTATGGTGATAGATTCACAACTCTGTGAATATACTGAAGGCCAATGAATTGTAGACTTTAAATGGGTGAATTGTGTGGTATGTGAATTATATCTCAATAAAGCTGTAAAAAACAAACAACAACAAAAAACACTTATCTGAATTACAAAGGAGAGAAATTCTTCTCAGGTATTGCACTAATGCATTAGTGTATTACCCACTAACCTTTTCTTTTTTTTTTTTTTTTTTTTTTTTTTTTTTTTTGCTGTATGCAGCCCTCTCACTGTTGGGGCCTCTCCCGTTGCGGAGCACAGGCTCCGGATGCGCAGGCCCAGTGGCCAAGGCTCACGGGCCCAGCCGCTCCGCGGCATGTGGGATCTTCCCGGACCGAGGCACGAACCCGTGTCCCCTGCATCGGCAGGCGGACTCCCAACCACTGCGCCACCAGGGAAGCCCACCCACTAACCTTTTCTTAATGATTTAAGATCAGTGCTGTGTGCACAGTTTTTCATATCTGGTATAACATGGCAATGTTCTTAGTATTATTATAAGATACAGGGCAGTTTGCCCTACACTAAACAGCCCCATATTTTTTCTGCTTTATTTTTCTAAAAATGCCCTTTACTTTCACCATAAAGCTTGGTGGTTAAGCTCATGTGCTTAGGTCATGTATTACTTACTGACTTATTGGCTGTGTGGCCTCTGGTGAGTTACAAAGTCCCTCTGTGCCTCAGTTTCTCCATATATAAAATAACAGTTCCAACCTCCGTGGAAAGTTGTGAGGATCAAATAAGATAAGGTGTAGAAAGTATCTGACGCTGTTCTTGGCAGTGGTAAGCCAGACTGAAATTTAGCTATCAACACTATTCCCACTGCCGTCAGTGTAGCTGCCGGAGCAGCCCTTCTGAGCTTCAGACTCAGAAACCAGAAAACCCGCACAGTGTGCTCAGTGAGATGAAACAGGGGCTGGGCGTACAATTCCATGACTGGCCTTTGGGACATCCCATCAGATGGCTCTGAGCTTCAGTGATATTAGCTAATTTGTCCCAGTTCACCCCTAAACAGAAAAACCTAGAGGCTTGGTGAGGTCGCCCAAGATATCCTGGCATGTGGGAGGCTGCTGCCCAAGGGGACGCAGTGCCCCACACCACTTGAGGCTCTCTCGAGACCAATGATTCTTCCAATTCAGAGGTCACAGACACACTTGAGAATCTGAGGAAAGCTACAGACGTTCTGCCTAGAAAAGTATGTGTGCGTGTATGCATACAAAACTGTACCCATGTTTACAGGGAAATCTTGAACCCCAGAAGCCTGTTTAAAAACCCAGGCTCTAAACTTCAAGGTTCAGTGGCTGGGACCCAATGCTCCCACAGCAATTGGAATAGAAGGTCCTCTGATCTTGGCCAGATAAACAGTCCTGGGAGCTGACTGCTGCATTCTAGTCACTGCAAATATATGCATCCAGGGGATTCCCAGCAGGAAGCTACTGTAGGGCAAGGCCCAAAAGCCTTGCTGATAAGCAGCTGGGGAGTTCCAGACCCAGGGCAGCTGCCTTCCAGATAAGATTCTTGCTCTGCCAACAGAGAAGAGGAATCTTAGGAGAGATGCTAGAGGCAGGCCAGGCCATGAGAGGGAATTCAAAGGAGCTGGAAACCCCCCAAATTCCCAGGACTACTAGGACTTGGACAGAGTACTAAAGGCTGGAGATTCTGCCCTAATGCAAGAGGATGGAGCTGGAAAGGGGTAGGCGAGTTGTGGGCAAGGGAGGTGGGTGGACCACGGGTCAGAAGCTGTTAGAAAATGTTTGGATACCATAAAAATATGAACACTAACCCAAGGTGGCCATACTTCCAGGCAGGCCATTCTATGTTGTATGAACTGCATTCTTCTTACAACTGGAACGGACCTGCACCATCTCTCCTCATCAGATCACTGGGCTGTACTTGTTTCTTTGGGCTGGGTTTTGCCTGCTTTTGCTCCTGTATCACAGTATTAAAATTCCCAAAATGTGCCCTAGTCCTTATGAAAATACCTTTATAACAATTGGTGGACAGGAAAGTTGGCATCATGACTAGGTTTGCTAATAACTCCTGTGAATGATTCCATCTGCTTAAGTAGATGGCTGAAGAAACCCATTCTCTTTTAAGCCACCAGAAGTAAATTGTCTTCCTTTTGCTATAGAGAAACTATGTAAATGGAATCATGACTGAAATTGCAGAGAGTGATGTTATATAACTTCTGAACCGGGCCATCCTGCCTCTTCTTCATGGGGCCCACATTCCTCTCTAATTTCATTTGGAATCTATTTCTTTTCCCTCTTCAAATGGAAATAAAGGTATTTAGGTAAACATTCGTGATGCTACAGTAGTGGTATGAACAATGTGACTACCCACCTGGTTTAGTTTCTTTTTCCAGCTCGCATCTCTTCAGATTTTCCACTGTTGACTGATCAATATGGAAATTCTAAGGAACCAGAAGAAACACAAAAATTAGAGCCAGACATACTCTAGGGCTGTAAACTGAAACAGGCTTTTAGGAATACAAGTTAACAACATCTATTAACATATTAACTGCACACATCCTTTGGATCAGTCAGATATCTAGGAATTTATACTATAAATATGCTCACATAAGTAAAAGAATGTTCAGTAAAACATATTGTGTAAAAGTAAAAAAAAAATAGAGGAAACAACTTAAATGTCTGTTAATAGGAAAAGAGTTAAATTATGGTGTATCAATATGATGAGAAACTACACAGCTGTTAAAAAGAATGAGGGAGATTTTGTCGTACTGACATGGGAAAATGTACATGCTCTGTTGTTAAAAAGTAGTGTAAAATTGTATATATTATTTCTTTAAAAAAAAGAGACCATGATTGTTTATGCTTAGAAAAATGTACACCGTTTGTGTATATACAAAATTTTTGTACCTACACAGAAAAAGGCAAACAGCAAACTATGAACAGCGGCTCTCTTTGGGACTCAGAAAAAGGAATGAAAGACTTTCACTTTTTACACTAACTATTTCTGTTTTAGTTGAAAACTTTTACAGAGGCATACATAACTTCCATATAATCATTATACATGCTATCTAAAATTCTAAAATATCAAGAGTGGGGGCAGGGCTTTCCTGGTGGTGCAGTGGTCAAGAATCATCCTGCCAGTGCAGGGGACATAGGTTTGAGGCCTGGTCCGGGAAGATCCCACATGCCATGGAGCAACTAAGCCCATGCGCCACAACTACTGAGCCTGCGCTCTAGAGCCCATGAGCCACAACTACTGAAGTCCACGTGCCACAACTACTGAAGCCCGCACGCCTAGAGCCCGTGCTCCGCAACGAGAAGCCACTGCAGTGAGAAGCCCACGCACCGTAACGAAGAGTAGCTCCCGCTCACTTGCAACTAGAGAAAGCCCGCGCGCAGCAAGGAAGACCCAATGCAGCCAAAAATAAATTAATTAATTTAAAAAAAAAAAGTGGGGGCAAAAGACATTTTCAGACAAAAACTGACTGAGCAAGTTTACCATTGACAAACTCCAAAAACATTCTCCAACAGAAGAGAAATTGAACGCAGAAAATAAGTGAGATTTTAGAATCAACAGTGAGCAAAATTAGTAAGTATATTGGTAAATTTAAAGAAGTACTGATTGAGTGAAACAAAGCTAAATGAGGAGGTAAAAACGTATTTGATAATATTGACAATATTACATGTTTGACAATAATAACATTGAAGATGGAAGAGAAATCAGAGTTAAATGTTGTAAGGTTTCTGATTATTCAGGGCAAACACAGAAATACTGTTTAATTTTAGATAATACATCCATGGTGCATATAGAAATTCTAAAGGTAAAAGCAACAAAATATAGAAATAGAATGCATAAGTTGCAAACCAGTTAGCATGCTCCTGGGTAGAAAAGCCTAATTATCCAAAAATGTCATCCTTCTCAAGTGACTACATAATTTTAATTAAATTCCAATAAGAATACCAATAGGTTTTTCTGGATGGGTGAATTAAAAAAATTACTTTAGAGTTCATATGGAATAATAAGTACTCAAGAAAATTAGCCAAGAAATAGTAAAGATAATTATAAAAAATAAATAGGGGATCTGTCTTACAAGAAAAGCTTATTATAAAGACATTATAATAAAAAGATACAGTATTAACATAAGAATAGACAAATAAGCTGTGGATTAGAATAGCAAGTTCAGAAACAGATACAATAAAGGAAATTATTTATGACAAAGATGGGTTTCAACACAAAATAGAAAAGATGGCTAATTTAATAAACGGTGCTGGCCATCTAGAAAAAAGCTTGATCACTACCTCTTGCTATGTATAAACATAAATTCCAAAGGGATTAAACATTCAGGATTAAATTAATTAAAACCATAAAAGTATTAGAAAAACATTTAGGAAAATATTTATGTAACTTTGAGGTGGGGAAATTATTCCTAAACAAGGCAAGAAATCCAGACACTATGAAGAAAAATATAGAAACAAATTAATAAACATATAATAGATTAGGAAAAATATGTGTAACACATTTGGAATCCTTAATACATAAACACATAAAGAGCTCCTACTACTTGTTGAGAAAAAGGCAAATAATTCATAAGAAAAATGCGCAGGGCTTCCCTGGTGGCGCAGTGCTTGAGAGTCCGCCTGCCGATGCAGGAGGCGCGGGTTCGTGCCCCGTTTCGGGAGGATCCCGCGTGCCGCGGAGCGGCTGGGCCCGTGGGCCGTGGCCGCTGGGCCTGCGCGTCCGGAGCCTGTGCTCCGCAAATGGGAGAGGCCGCAGCGGTGAGAGGCCCGCATAACGCAAGAAAAAAAAAAAAAAAAAAAAAGAAAAAGAAAAATGCGCAAAGGAAATTCATAGAAGAGGAAAATGAAATGGTCAATTAACATGAAACAATGTTGAGTTTCACTAGCAGTAAAGAATATACAAAAATAAAACACCATTTTCCCATCAGCTTGGTCAGAAATAAAACAACAGAGATGGAAGGAGGGAGAGATGGAGGAAAGAAGAGAGAATATCTAATACTGGTAAAGACTCAGGGAAATGGAAGTACTCACATATTGCTGGGGAGAATGTAAATTCTTTGTAAAGTAGGACAGTTTTATCTATTAAAATGTCAAGTATGTATACCCTTTAACCCAGCAATACTATTTTTGAAAATATAATCTATAAAAACAAAAGGACCAGTGAAGAAAGATATGTACATGTAGATATTTAACGCAACAATAGTTTTCGTAAAAAAAATGGTAATAACTCGAGTATCTGCCAAAGGAGAAATGGTTGAATATACTGTGGTACCTCTAGATCTACAGCCCTGAAGTTATTTAAGAGTGAATCAAATTTGTACCTACCCATGATGTATTATTCAGTGGGAAAAATAAACTGCAAAATAATAAAGTACAATCCCACTTGTGACAAAACATAAAAACCACATACATACACAAAGTATCCATTCACGTAGGAGCCTGGAGAAAGGTATGGAAAGATATACACCAAACTGATTACAGTGGTTATCTCAGAAGGATGGAAATGGGGAGCAGGGAGAGGGGAGAGATTACAAACTTTTTCTTTATACATCTTCAAATTGTCTAGCTACAACAAGCATATGCATCACTTTAGGGAAAACTAATGAAGAAAACAAAAACAACAACAAACTAATGAGAGCAGAGAAAGAATGCTGGTAAACTGTGTCACACACTACCCATTTATCTACATGGGATAGTTAACTGCACTTACTGTCACTTTCCCTTTTGGTCAAATAGAACAGGTCTTCCAACCTATCATTTTAATAGCCGGAAGACACATTTTTTTAAAAAGCTTCATGAAAGGGAAAAAAAAGTGCACTTTATTTCCTAAGCATTTATGTCACTTTTTAAGGGAATTTTTTTTTTTTTTTTTTTTACTTAAATAAAAATGCTCCCCTTTAAAAATCCAAAAGCAAGCCTAAAGCTTTGGCTTGAAACTGCCCTGCTTAGGTGGTGTGTGGGCTGCTTCTGCACTGTTGACTGTTTTTCGTGGCTCTGTGCCCGTAATTGCCTTTCTCCCCAAACCCAATTAAATATACACCCGGGCATCTATGTTTGCCGGGAACCAAAGCCCAGTAAACCGCAGCATCTCTGCTCACAAGGCTCTCTTGGCCTCCAAGCAGATGCTCTGGCTTTCATATCAAGTGGGTCCTGGAATCCAGAGAAGTGAAATGGATTGTTTTGTAACCCATTCTGCCGGAAGGAGAAAGGAGGGAAATGGTTTATCCCAGTGGATGAAATGAAAGAGAAAAGAGGAACAGCATTCACAACAAGCTCTTGAAGGAGAGCTACCTATGCTGAATCTGCCATTTCAGGGTTGCCTGGAAGGTACACTCTGCCCGTTCCTGGTGGCATGCTTCACTTTCAACTCTTATTTCACTGATAAGAAATCTTTCATTGAAATAATAATGATAGCTCATATGTCTACAGCACTTCATATTTTACAAAGCAGTTTAAGATACTTATTCGATCTTCACAATGACCCTGGGATCAGATCAGCATCATTCCCATTGACAGATGAAAATGAGGCCCAGAGAAGTTAAGGATCCTTTAAGGTCACACAGCAAATTGGTAACAGAGCAGCAGTACAAACTCAGGTCTCCAAACCCAAGTCCAGTAGGGAGCTCACATTTGAAATCAGAAAGGGGAACTATAGGCAAGCCAATGAATAAAGACATTGGCCCTTGGGAGTAAACGATTTTTCCTGCCCCTTATGAAAAAATTACAGACTAGGAGGACTATTCTACGCCAACTCAGAGAGAAATTTTGCTCATATTCAGCAGGTATACAGCTGCTGAATAAGGGAAGGAAAATTCCCTGCATCACCAGGCCCCTCCATCATTTTCCTAACCTTCCCCTGATCCTAACCTTCACCCTCTTCTCTCTTCCTTTCCCCTCTAGGCTTTAGCCACACTGCCTCCTTTCACTTTCCCCAACATTCCACAGGCTTTCCCGCCTTGGGCCTTTCACCTGTGTACCTCTCCCTACCTGGAGTATTCTTTCCCACCCCCAGCACCCTCAGCCCCAACTCCGAGGCATAACTGACTCCTTATCTTGGTTTAAACACCACCTCTTCAGGCAAACCTGCCCCAACTACACTCTCCTCTGCATCCATCACTCATGCTGTTTATTTCGTAACACCACCATCAGTCCATGTAAGCTTCATGTGAGGAAGGACCATGCCTGTTCTATGTAGCACTGTCCACCTACCACCTTGCCCAGTGCCTAGCAGATATGAGGTGCTCAATAAACACTGGCTGAATACATGAAAGATTTACTGAAGTGAACCGAAGTCTCGGCTTAATCGCTACTCTCTCAGGCCTTCCACAGCACTGTCCCTCTCTTGGGGCACATAATCACACATGTTAAGAGTCACCGAGTCCTTTTTTCCTATCAGGCTGTGAGCTACTTATAAGTCTTACTTACCTTGGTATTGCCCATAGCACTTTGCATAATACCGAAAACACAAAGGGCTCTTTACAATGGGTGAATTCACACATACGTACAGGAAAGTACAAAGGAAAGCCAGGGCCCCTAACCAAGCGCAGATAGTGGTTTCTTCCCCCGCGGGGACCGCAACACAGAACACGAGCACCTCTGATATACGCAAACAGGGACTCTGCCTGGGGAGACATTAAAACGAGCTAAACTCCAGATGGAGCCAGTGTGCGGGTGAGGGGATGCGGGCATAAGCATGGACTGCTGATGGGAGCTTATACAGGCTGACACTTTCCAGTGGCAAACCGGGAACATGTATCAGAGATCTAAAAACGGTCATGCCCTTTGACCTCGCCATGCCTTATTTGAAAATCAGAGAAGTGAAATCACTGGGTGATGATTTAAGTATGTTTTTCTGTACTGCCTCGCTTTTCCTTCCATGAACATGTTCCAATTTTGTAAACTGAAAAAAAAAAGCCACAATATAAATGTTATAAAAACAAACCAACAGAAAACTTAGTGGTGATTTTAGACGACAGAATCACCCATCCCTAGAATTCCTTACTGAACATGGGATAGCAGATTCCGGGTCCTCTAAGGTGGGGCTGCTGCATTTTGTGATGAACTCCCTTCTTTCCTCTGAAGCCGAGGGGGATAGGAAGGTGTTGGGGGTGAATGCTTCAGCAG